GACCCCACGTACGGGCCCCTCAAAAAAAAATATGTTGGCGGGAAACGACTTCGCGAATCAGGCAAGGTAGAAAGCTGAAACTTTGCAGAGATATTCCATATGCACGTGCGAGCTAAAGATTTTAAACTCAGCTGTCGAGTACCGCAACCACAGCATCAAGCAGCGCCTCAACCCAAAAATAGTTGGCAACCCGGATCCGAACCGCAATTTTAGATGTAAATGAACATTAGTTGATTTGCGTACATGGATTTTTTGAAAAACAACCGCTCGAGCAAAACTGTAACGTTCAGGAGGAGGAGAAGCTGGAGCTGGGGTGCCTGCCTGGCTGCGGGAAGCGCTCCAGCAGTTAGGGGGACACCCAAACAACAAAACACACTTCTTTATTAGTACAATCACACAAAGAATATTTAAACGCAACGAACCCTGGACCCCCCGGCAGCAGCTCCAAGCTGTTATCGGACACACACAATATCTTCAAGTGGCAGCAACTTCGAGCTGCCGTCGCGCACTTCCAGATCGGGTAAAAGAATACAGTTACAGTTACCATTTCATTTCCAATCATCACATTAAATATCACGGAGGGGGGAACTCGAGCCAAGAGACGGGGCATTTACAGGAAACCGAAGGGCAACTGGCCAAGGCGAAGGGGGTTTAGCCTCCAACTTCGCTTCCTTGTTACTCGCTCCTTCTTCCTTTTGCAACAAAACTTCCATTTTTTAGTGAACTGGAAATTTGCATTTTTTTCAAAAAATTTGCATTTTTCATTTTTTCACAAAGAGAGCATTTACCGAAAAACGACCGGACTTCATGGAGAAAACCCGTAAAACAGCTGCTAAGACCGGTAAAACCAGTTTTCTATAGTAAGACAGCTGCTACCTGAGCCCCTAAGGGCGAAAGACCCCTCGCCCCTCCCACCGGATTCGCCAACGAGTATCCACACCAGAACAGCCGCGAAATCGTCTTTCCAATCTAATTCGGAAAGTGGACCCTGTGGCTGTTCCGAGATACGGATTACGCAGCTGTTCTTAGGAGGCGGGTGCCATGGCTGTTCTAAGGGGGACACTGCTGTTCCTATCCTCCACAAAACACTATGGCATCCCTCTCCAAGAACAAACACAGAAGCCCCCCCCCCCTCTCCCCTCAACATCTGCATATGTCAAGCACAAATAAAAAGGATCGAAAAAACACCAACTCCCCTGAACACCGAAGGAAACCAGAGCGATCCACTAGCCAAGCAGACACAAAAGTAAGCAAAGTTAGATCGCTTTACGGGGGTTGTGCAGCACAACATCGTACCGTACTCACAGAGTACCGCTTTGTAATTGTACTGTATGTTGTAGGGGGAGACGGAGGGGTAAAGAAGGAGGGGGAGATGTATCACTGCTTCCAACGTCAATACATCTCATTTCGATACAAGTTGAAGCTTGGAAGTTGAAGTTGTCTTGGTCAATGTGCGGGGTAGCGATAGGCCGTTAATTCGTCGATTCGCACAAATGATCAAATCCCGTCCTCAGCTGAATGGTGACATAATGTGAAACCCCCTTCTTTCTTCCCTATTCCCCCTCTATGAGAGATGATACTTCAAAGTTTGATGCAAAAACGCATGATCGCACCTGCTCGCCTGGTGCGTTCCAGCCTGGGTGTTTATTTTGTGCACAGTTACTGATGATAATATGTTACTTCTGAGTTATATTGTTCAAACTTAGTGTTTATTGTAACGGCGCACCAGAAGCCTGAAGATAACAGATGCACTGCCAATTCTAGCACTTGCTCTGCAAGATAATATACGCACCCTTAATTTTCGTATTCTTAGACACTCCTTTTTCTTAGCCTTCGAGGATTTTTAGCGTTTCGTAACCCGCCTGTTTGTTTTGAATATTTTTTTTACTAACCAAATAATTTCTGTGCCGCTTTCACTAAA